TCTATCTATCTATCTATCTATCTATCTATCTATCTATCTATCTATCTTTCCATCCATCCATCCACCCCCCTCTCTCTCTTTCTTAACTCTCTCTCATCTCTCTCTCTTTATCTATCAACTATCTATCCATCCATCTCTATATCTATTTCTATCTCTATCATCTCTATCTTTATCCTACCTCTACCTCCATCTCCATCTCCATCTATCTCTATCATCTCTATCTTTATCCTACCTCTATCTCCACCTGCATCTCCATCTATCTTGATTATCTATCTATCTATCTATCTATCTATCTATCTATCTATCTAATTATTTATCTCTATCTAATGTTTATGGCTGCCCATCTCAGGATTATTTCTAGGAAATAATAGAAATATGGAAGGATAGGCCAGTCTTAGAATGATTCAGCCTCCAACATGAAAGGACACTGATTTAATCCATTTGAGGTGGGCAACCCTGACATAAATCAACCAGATTTTATTTATTTATTTATTTTATTTAATTTGCCAATCACTTACAAGTTAATGGGTATAAGTATAAACATGAGTAAGAATACAGGAAATAGGTACGAATAAATGGGGACAATAGGACAGGGACGGTAGGCACGATGGTGCGCTTATGCATCCCCATTACAGACCTCTTAGGAACGGGGTGAGGTCAATGGTGGATAGTTTGAGGTTAAAGGAGTGGGGGGGTTTGAGGATGTAACTACAGAGTCAGGTAGTGCATTCCAGGCCTCAGTTGCTGAAGTCGTACTTTCTGCAATCAAGTTTGGAGCGGTTTACTTTGAGTTTGTATCTGTTGTGTGCTCTTGTATTGTTATGGTTGAAGCTGAAGTAACCATTGACTGGTAGGACATTGTAGCAGATAATTTTGTGTGCTACACTTAAGTCCAACCGTAGACGGCGCAATTCAAGGTTGTCCAAGCCCAAAATCTCAAGCCTGGTGATATAGGGTATTCCGTTGCGAGCAGTGTGGTAGTCTTCTTGTGAAATATTTCTGGACTCGCTTGATTGTATTAATGTGTGCTGATATACACAGCACCTCAACTTTGCAAAAAATAAAAAATAAACACCCCCCAAACCAGAACAAAAGATTTGACTAAGTACAAATTTGGGGACCTCAAAGGGGAATTGTAGCTGTAGTCTTAAGCAGTCTGAACAACTGTTGTGCTAAACAGAGCTCTCTTGACCAAAAGTTCCAGGATGATTGAGATGGGTAGAAATTGCAAGAAAAGGGGAGTAGGCAATGCTGATTGTCTCAGAACAACTCAATTGATACCATGGCAGCCTTGCTCCAATGGGGTCATTAAAGTGGAGATTGGACAGAGGCAATCAACGTTGATTGATTTTACATCAAGGAGAAATTTGGTCTAGCTGGAGATCCCTGGAGCCAATCTTCTGCAGTAAAGGCCAACTCTAAATGTAATCTCTGAGATTTCATCTTTTATCACAGAGCTCTTTTGGAAAGGAGCAAACATTTACCAATGCTTTGCTAGTTTAAGCCTGCCTTAGAGCCTGCCTTCTTTATTTGAACGATTGAAAATAGAAAGTTTTTGCATTGGAGAAAATAAAAATAAAAGAAATATTACCCTTAATAACTGCAGGCTCCCAAATACCACCTTATCATACCTAATGTGGAGAAATGGCTTTAAAAGGTAACAAGTCTCCTTGTGATGTACGTGTGTGTTTGTGTACGCACACAAAGTTGTGTTTATTTGTTTTGAAAAAAAAAATGCAATGGGAAGGCAGGCTAGGATTTCAGAAGGAACCTGATTGGACAACCTTCATCCTTGAACAGGCCATTCCTGGGCTATAAAACTTACAGTTTTGGAGGTCTTCTGTCATTTTCAAGGATTTTCGTCTCCAGTGCTGGTTTTTGACTCCCCTCCCTCCTTTTCCCCCCTCCTTTGGTGTGGCAATGCTGCTCAGGCCCCATCCCTTTGTTCCTGCTTTGGGCATCACCAATTCTTTGCGGACCCTGTTCTGCCCTGAAGATGCATCCAGGCCCGGCATTCTCCAACTCCACACAGCTTCCAGAGAGATATTGTCATCTCCAGCCCAGGAGAGTGCACCGAAGCCATTCAGTGACTTGCCAGGAAATTGGAAAGCCAGCTGGTTTAACCTCTATCAGTTCTGGAAGGAGGGTGGATTCCACAACCTTCACAACATTATGGTGGACAAATTTAAGACCTTTGGTCCTATTTATAGGTAAGGAGGTGGGGATTGCTTAAATCTGGAGGGATTTTGCTTCCTTTCCCAAACTTTTTCCATTCTTCTTCCTCAGACTAACCTATTTTGTCCCACTTTGATCAGGATGATTTGCAGGTTTAACAGATGCTGGGTTGTTATTATTATTATTTTTTCCCCCTGCAACTAAATGACTGGTTTTCCCCTTGAAGGAGTGCAATAAATCTTCTCTTTTTCTCTCCCTGCCTCTTGTTTGCTTCAAACATTCCTCTGTTACTGGGAGGTCCTTGGTGCTCTCTCAGTTTGGTGGTTTTCTGGCAGATGTTTCATTTACCCAAACTAGGTAACTTGATCTGATGTTCCCTTGTTTGGTAATGAAACGGTCAATCTGGAGCTAAATATATTCTCTATTATTGATTTCCCTGTTTGTCTTCATTAGAGGATATTGCAATTGGAAATACAGTATTTAAAACTAATATTATAATCCAGAAAATCAGGGGGGTCATCCTTCCAGGTGGACATTCAAGATCCTTTAAAAGTGATAGGTTCTGACCATTTCTTTTAAACAGCTGACTGAAGAGTTGTGGGTTTTTGTTTTTTTTAGAAGGATGTAGGGGAGTTTGCAACAGAGAAAGTTGTACACCTCTGTAGCATCCCCCTAATTTTCCTCCATTTCATCTCTTCTGATTTATCTCGTATTGCTAAGAAATAGAACGGACCTACAAACTCCGGAGGGTTTATTTGTCCCAGAACAATTTGCAACAGGGATCAAAGAGCCAAAAATTCTTAAATATGCTACAAAGCAAAATATATATACAAGCTTAAAATCGAACAAAAGCATCTGTTATGAGTACAAATTTGCAATTCGGTCCCTGGATCTCAGAACAATGCAAAGGGGACAAATTCTTAGAAGTCCTGGGTGAAAGGGCTTAGGCCAGAACGAAAACAGAGGCTTCGTGTGCAAATAGATTCTGATGTTTCCAAAATCTGCTTGCAAATTGACTGAATAAATCAAAGCCGAAATCTCTGGGTTTTTCTTTTTTCTTTTTGCAATATACCTGGATAGAAAAGCATGTTTTAATCAATGTGCATGCATTATTAAATTTAATTTGGAATTGCTTTATTCATTTATTAGCTTTTTTAAAAAAATCCTGCCTTTATTGTTTTGATAAGTGACTCAATGCAGTGAATCTATCTAATATACCTACCTTCCTCCTATTTTCCCCACAACAACAACAACCCTGTGAGATGGGTTGGGCTGAGAAAGAGAGGGACTGGCCCAAAGTGACCCAGTTGGCTCGCATACCTTCTGGTTGCTACTCCAGGCAAGAATCACACCCCAATGAGCTGCTTCTCATAGCTTGTGGCCCTGGCAGTTGATTGATAGCTCTCTCACTTGCCTTTAATAGTGTTTTCTTCTGGATGTTTCATTACCTAGTTGGTATAATCATTAGTGCTAATTTTGGTGTGGTAATGAAACGTCTGCAAGAAAATAACCAAGGTCAGAGAACACCAAGGACTCCACAATCCACATTTCTCCTTCTCCTTCTCCTCTTCTAATTCCTCCTCCCTCACCCTTTGCTTCTTTTACACTCAACGAACCTCATCCCTTCTAGCCCTGATGATGTTACCTACTTAGATAATGAAACATTTGCAAGAAAACAACCAAGATAGCAGCCCATTTCTTTCCCATTCTTTAACCCAATCCTGCTGGGAGAAACTGGGCATCCACCATTGCCTCAAGAGTTCCATTTCAATGACTTCAAACCTGTGACACCAGCCAGCCTTTAATGTCTAAAATGAGGTGCCGATATGTCTTCACAGGGAGAAACTGGGCAGCTACGAGAGCGTCAACATTATTGACCCCAAGGACGCCGCCATCCTCTTCAAATCAGAAGGCTTGTACCCGGAGAGATTTACTGTGCCACCTTGGATCGCATATCGGAACTTCCGTAACAAGCCCTGTGGGGTTCTCCTGAAGTAAGAACCCCATGAGATGTGCGGGGACTGGCCCATGGGTTTTCTGAGGAGACAATAGCCACCAAGAGTCTGAACTCCACACCGGAACCAAGGGTTGGGGCTGGAGATCCTTCAGGAAAAGAGAGATAGGAAGCTCGCTTGATCGTGAGGGTGATTTGGTCATGGGGAGAGGATTTTATTTCTCCACTTCTTCTTCGACTTGCTTTATAATTTCTTTTTACTATCGATGAGCTGGCTTGATTGTAGAGAATAGAAGAGAAGAGAAGAAGATGTTTTAGAAGAGAAGAAGAGAAGATAGAAGATAGAATAGAAGATAGATAGAGCAGAGCAGAGTAGAGTAGAGTAGAATTGAATAGAATAGGAGAAGATAATTTAGAAGAGAAGAGAATAATAGAAGAAGAGAAAATAATTTAGAATAGAATAGAATAGAAAATAGAAGATAGAATAGAGTAGAGTAGAGTAGAGTAGAGTAGAGTAGAGCTGGAAGGGACCTTAGAGGTCTTCTAGTCCAGCCCCCTGCTCAAGCTATACTATTTCAGATGTCTAGGAGGCTGTCTAGTTTCTTCTTAAAAACCTCCAGTGAAAACCGGTCATAAGTCACCTTTTTCAGTGCCATTATAACTTCAAACTGTCACTAAATGAATGATTGTAAGTCAAGGATCTCCTGTATAAGGATGTGAAATCTCCTACTTACAACTACCAGCCCTTCCTCGACCTCCATATATATTATTGACCATTTTCACCCCTCCTGAAGATGATCCCTTCTCCACCAGCTTGAAGAAGAAGAGATGATCAGTGGGAGAAATAATGACAGAAGCAACCTTGGAATGACTTCTTTTTAAAACTTTCTAGGAAAGGAGACAGTTGGCGCCAGGACCGCCTAGCCCTGAACAAGGAAGCCATGTCCCTCAAAGTCACGGATAACTTTATACCTCTCCTGAATGAAGTCGGGGAAGATTTTGTCAAGAGGATGGAGATGAAGGTTGGAAGCAGTCCGCAAAATAAATGGACAACTGATCTGACCCACGAGCTTTTCCGGTTCGCCTTGGAATGTGAGTGGAAGGGAAGCAGGTTGGGTTGGGATGGGTGGAAAGGGAGGCTCAAGAATTAGGCAACCGATCAGGGGAGGGATTCCAATTTTTTAACAACTCATTCTGTGGGTGTGGCTAGGTGGGCATGGTCATGTGACTGGGTGGGCATGGCTTCTTCTTCTTCTTCTTCTTCTTCTTCTTCTT